CTATTTTTTGATCATCATTTAACTCAAAATCAATTTATAGTCTCGGAACCCACTTTTAATAGCAAAGCTCCCATATAATCACAAAATTAACGAAATACTTTATTTACTGTCAAATTAACAAAAAAAAAAATACATTCAAATTTTTAAAAATCATGATTGTTAAAATAAATAAAATTCCTTATTGCATCTACATAGTCGACATGATAAGGTATAGAAATTAGACGGTTAAAACAAAAAAAATGCCGTTAGCACGTGACCATTAGTTACATGTAGTCACATGATAGTGGCATTAAAGTTGCTAAATCGGAGGTTCCAGTAAAGGTGTAATGAATCTAGATTATAAATGAATGTTAAACGAACGAAATTATATTTGATTTTATTTAAAATAATTGCGCATTACATACAAAAGCACTTTAATTTTATATTTAATGTAATTAGGGGAACTAAAGTTTGTAAAAATAAAAATATTTTCAAAAAAAAAAAATAATACTTTAGGAAAGAAAATTAAAAATTGTAATCAACCTTTTTTAGTTCTGGTTATAAAAATAGGAAATTATTTCATTATAATTATTCAAAAGTTCGTCCGAAGGAGAAAACAACCTTTTTTTCAATTTTGTTGAAGAACTTTATTAGAATGCCCGGTTTACAAGCTTCAAGATACAAAAACAATTCGTTCTATAAGCGATATTGACACGAATAATACTGCACATTTTGTTCATTGTTGTATTGATAATGAATGCATCAATGGTAGACACGAGTTTAGGAACAATTTGTATTTAAGAAACATGTATTTCTTCAATGCTTTATAATACTGTATAATAGTCGTCGCGACTTTATTATGTAATATTAGTTAATCTTTAATAATTGGTAGCGAAACATTTAATATTACTTACTATGTTTTTATTAAATCTTTACGATACATTTACAAAGTTTTTACTAATTATTTACTATCATAAACTTAAAGTATACTGTACATCAGCTAAAGTCGCAACAGTTTCTATAATATGTCGCAACAATTTTCGAATTGTTCGTCTACGATCGCCTTAAGGCGCAGTAACTGCATTTAGACTAATCGCATTTACATATTAACTATCTTCGTTCTAGATCGTAACAAATTTATGGTACTACTTTATTTCTATTTCGCTACTACGTTGTTACTAAATTTAAATTTCAGTGAAATATTTTTGATCACAATTTGAGCGCGATCAATCATCAAAAATTTTTTAGACAAAATAAACTTTCATTTGACAAGGAAAAAGATTTATTATTCATCAAAAAAAGCATTAGCATTTTCCTAAATTTTACATATTAAGATAATCGGATATCTAAATCAGTTACGTATTCTTCAAAGCAGATAATTCTAATAATGTAATGCTTTATTTGAACAAGTGACATACACCGAAGCCTTTTAAATTTGGAACCTCAATGAGGCTTTAGTTTTTCGGTTACAGGAAAATCTTATGCGGAATTAGATAATATCACGGAAAGGTAAATGCAGTTGGCCATCAAAGGTTTAAAAGTTATACAGTTAAGGGAGTGATGCATAGGGATTAGAGGTTGGAACCGGTTTGGTGTAAATCGATTTAAATTCGGTTTAAACCGGTTGCAACATAAAACCGGGTCTATTTTTTTCAGATTCGAAAACCGGTTTTAATAAAATCGGTTTATTGCGAAAATTCGAATTTAATGAAACCGATTGAACCGGTTTAAAATCAAACCCTATAATATGATATTTATGTTTTGTTAACATTTGATAATTATGCAACATTATTATATAATTTCGATAATGACGTTACGGTAAGGTTTAAATTATTTTTTTTTAAAAAAAAAAAATTTATATTTTAAAAGAAATTAATTATCCTCTAATAGGGACGTTAAATCGCGTGTGTGATGGATTAATCTTGCGTGGAACAAAAAGAGTCATAATTCCGAACATTTTGATCGAATTGAGAAGTTTATTTGGAATGGCAGGTAAGTTTATACATGCATTAAGATTTCGTTTAATTAATGACATTCAAATTTTTGAATTTATTTTAGAACAACGCAATTCATTGCCCATATCGGCTCGTGACATTTAGGTGGGTGCATCGGAAATTACAATGTTTCATTAAAGTTGTTTTGTCAGCCCTGATTTATATATATTTATGCAATAAACCCTGAGCTCCATTAGATATTGTTAGAATAAAATAACTTCATAACATCCTCAAAAAAAGATCATGATATACCTTCTTGGATAGTTATTTCCTTACTGCTAGGGTACTGTATCTAAATATGTTTAGAATTGCTAATTTTAATGTCCGCGCGTTGCCTTGAACCTTTCGCTAAGCTTTGAAAAATTTATTCAAACAACACAGTTTTACTAGTTGCTTTAATTCATTAAATCTTGAATTATTATGTAATATGGAATGAGTGCTGGGAAAATGGACCAAATCGACATTTCATATATTTTGAGAGGAATGAGGAATGTGTTTACCATGATAAATTCTGATCAACAACATACCAGTTTATTATTCGAAATTAATATGAAAACTAGTGATTGATTATTTTCGAACAGCTGACCTCTACAGTCAAATACAATTGGTTGTGAACTTGGTCCCTTTACTTAGCACTCATTCTTCCCATTATTTAATATTGATCATAGCTTACTAAATATAGATAACGAAAGTGTTACAAGGCTGTGGCGCAATATTTTATCATGTTAATGATCTTTCTATATTAAGTAAAAAATATTCCCCAACTAAATCTACATCACATCAAATAACGTAACGTTAAAAAAGTTTTTTTTGATAGGTCTATTTTCCCAGCACTCACTCCATATTACCTACACTACATAATTTTACTGTTTCAAATAACAATCACTTTCAACCAATTATATATAGCTAATAATAATGAAATTTGGTTTTTTATTTGGTAACCGTTTTTGGTTTTTTTTAAATTAAATCATAAAATAAAATATATAACACCTGTTTCATATTTGATGATTTTTCCAGTCACTGTTCAACAGTACACATGAATCTTTCTTATTCTTTTTTTATTAATAAATAATAAATTGTTAAAAAAAATAATAGGTTTTCGTTATCGCATCTTCCTAATTACCCTTAATAAAAAATTATATCAAATACTAAGGTAATAAGTTAGTTCAAATGTATGTAATAATTATAATGATAAATAATTTAAGTTATATTTATTGGAATTTATAAACGAAAAAGTTTACGTTACTATCATAACTATTAAAGTCTATCGAAAGATATTTGAAATAATAAAAAGGTTCGTTTTGGATAAGTTCATTGCTCGTAAAGTCATACATAAGATCATGCCGATTATCCTCTAAAAAGTGACGCGCTTATACTATTTGGGACAGTTATTATCATTTTATTTAAAGAAATACATATATCAAAGTACATTATTGTAATGAAAAATAAAAAAATAAATGAAAAAAGTGAAAAAAATATCTTTGAATATATTCAATATCGTTATTGTGACATGACCTAAAGTCTTTAATACTTCAATTAAAGGATGGATAACTTACAAAATTATTTAGTTTCCGTAAATACAGTCGCTAGTATAGCATGTGCAACCTTCTCCTCAAGTGCAAGTTCTATATAAAATTTTCAATGCATTTAAAATCTTATATTTACAAAATATATAATTAAGAAAATGCTCATTATTATAATTAATGGGTTGTTGTTTTGTAGCACATGAGTCACAAGCACAATATTCTCCACAAGGGCATGACAATTTTGTTATTTTTGTGTTAGAATAAGTAAAGTTTGTAATGTTTTTTTATAGTTAAAAAGAACTTTAGTGATATGAGTGTAGGAAAGCGAAGGCGTAATTTTATTTACTGAAATCTTTCATGTTCATGTGGTGTGTGAGTGTGTGTATTTGTAAGTATGTATATAAACATATACCGCTCAAAAATTTCTTTAATTAAAGGACTCTAAGTCCGAGTTACAAGATGAACAGGGTGAACAGGGACTATCGAAATAATACTGTAATGATAATTTTATTTTATTAAAATAAATTTAGGGCAGACTTCTGATACGACGACACGACATGCATATTACACATCGACTCTAATATTATATATAGTCGGTTCTATTTACTAAAAAGGAGTACAAAGGCGTTGTGTAGCATTTAATCTCGAAATTTTTCTCATGTATACAAAAGAACGCTTTGGCATCTTATACAAGCTTTAAAAAAAAAATTCGAATTTCAAATATAATTAACTGTTATTGGTTTCAACAATCGCATCAAATTTAAATGTACTGTATATTAAATATTTAAAAGTTTCGCATATATCCATTACAAGATAAATAATAATAAAGATAATAAAGTTGGTACGCCCCTACATTATCGATAACGGAATTTGCATTGAATTTACAAAGTTAATTAGGAATATTAGTTCACTATTCCATAATATAAAGTTATATTTTTGTCATACGCGATATTTTCTATTGTAAGTAATTGAGTTTTGGGTCGTTGCTTTGTTGCACCATAGTAGCTCAACTTCTGGAAGATTCTTCTTAAGCATAAAAAGCAGTCGTTATCGTTTGAAAACAAAATAAAGATTATTTTGCCTTATTACAAAATCCAACCTGCGCAAATTTTAATCGAATCTTTTATAATTCGTCAATTGTTCTTCTGTTTATATACAAGTGTTGAATCGTGTCACTCCTTGTCCTTTTCTACAAACCGTCCATATTGTCTTTGCATTCTTTGCATTAATAAATCTAAAATTAATAATCACTCCCATACAAAATAAGAAAGTCAAAACAATTGAACAGTAATTTCATCTGTAAATATAATACTTTTCCAATTATAATTTAAATTTTTTTATTGTCTATTCAACCGTTTTTTCGTGAATTTTATTTTTATATCTGATATTTATAATTCGCTTCGATATATTTAACCAATGGAATCCTTTTTTTGCTTTATATTTCCTTCTATTTTTCTAATATTTTACAAAATAATAAAGAAAACTTGGTAAAAATAAGCAACTTTGATAAAGATCGCAATTTTTGGTCCAATAATGTAATAATAAAACTTCTCGTTGTCTTTAGACAATTTAACAATTCATCGAAATCACGGGATAAGGATTTTAATGTTTTAAAATTAAGAATTTAGTGGACAATTATTTAATAGATAGTTATAATTTTCTGATGAATGATTGACCTTAAATTTAATTTCTAATTAAACTATAAAATTTTTTTTTGAATTTCTGTTATCCAATACAAGCTGCATAGCTTTAGACATGATTACTCATCCTTTTTGGCCGGCATTATAGAACTTGGCCGCAATTATCAATTTGACAAATAAGGTGATAAATAGTATTTTTTCACATCGAAAAAATTGTCCCCAGAATAAATAGTAAAAATGAAAAGGTGGTGGGTGTAATTTGGCGTGACTGTTTATCAAGGCCACGTGAGGTGAAAATATTTCGTGAATATGACATGGTATACTACTTTTTATTGATTTCTTTTCATATTTGTGATAGAAGATCTATTATGATAAGCCTTCCGTTTGTGAAAACATTATTTTTTAATTCATTTATGTTATCTTGGCAGTACAATAAACAACTGGTTCTTGATTAAAGAGTGTATGGTAACAGCCAAATTTTTTTAAAGTATAATGCTAAAACACGATCTGGATGGACTAGAGCATAAATGGTGAATTAAAAGATATAAAAAAACAATATTGGATTTTCATTTGTGAGCTAGTGAAAATAATATATATAATTTCAAATTTTCAAATTATCGTTATTGTTTTTCTTGACAAGATGATTGGACAGTTAAATTAAATACGAAATTTAAGGTTGTTGAGTAAAATTTTAAGCTTATTATCTAAGCATAATTAGTTTTTTTTTTTTTGACTTTTAACGATGCAGTACTGCCATAAGTTTATTAATTTTATATTGTATACTATATAAAATTTATAAAGAAAAATTACATTATTTGAATAATTATTATTTTAAAAGTCAAAAAAAAAAAGTATAATTTTTTCATATTCTAATGAATATACATTTTATTTATTAAAAATTTAAAATGAGTTTGAGTAATCGTAAAGGAAAATATTACATGTTATTTACGCAAATTCTGAAAATATAAACTAATATTTTTGTCAATTAATTAAATTCGTCGTCAATGAAAAACATAAATATGTTATATTCCTTTAGTGAAATGCATGCTTTGTGATAAAATGGTCAAAATTTATGATTAAAAATAAATTTTAGGATATTTATTTATTTTACAAATAATAATAAGCCCTGCTTGCCTCATATACGCATTATTAAATTATTTAAAACATAATAAATTTGCTTCTGGATATAATTTTGGGATTGAAATTTTGTAGAATATTAAAAAACATAATATTTTAACTAAAGCAGCATCAATTAGAGAGAATGTTTAACCGATATGATATAAAAGTGCATTCCAAATAAGAGTAAGAAATTACAATTATTCTTGTAATTAAAGTATGAATATTACACAAGAAAAACATCAGAAGATCTACCAATAATTCAGAGAAAAAAAGAAAGTTGAAAGTGTAAAAAGTAAAGATGAATAATTTACGATAAGCATCAGCTAGATAAAATCTCTTGAGAAAAAATCTGCTGGTCGAACAACCGAACTAAAATTGCAATTAAACTTTATTAGCACATAAAACAAAATAAATCACACTTAAAATAAACATGTTAAATATAATATAAAAGATAAAATAGATATTTGAAATATGATATGAAAAATAAACCGCAGTTCTGCGCCATTCGCGGTATTCTTTTGATCGACATTTTCTGATTTTTGAAGAACCCGTAAAAAAAATCCTCAATTACATAAGGACAACAATACGAAGTTAACTGATATTGTGTATCCCAATAATTATGCATAATTTCACCTTAAAATGCATATATTGCTTTTTAACTGCATGCATTATTATCAATTTATTACATAAACAAAGAAATCAAAAAAACTGCCGCTTCCAATGAATCTACTTACTGGGTAAAATTAGCCCTAAAAAAAAATAAGAGACGAGTAGCCCATGAAATTAAAACTAACGCCTTAGCGATTAATAAGCAAATGTCCGCGGCTAATCTACAAGCGGTTATACTTTATAAAATGATTCTGGAAAAATTATTTTGTTATTTTATATATTAATAGTTTGGATAAAATTCAAAAAGGACTAGTTTCAGTTTAATCTGCACCTTACGAAATCACCGTCCGTTTATGGGATATACAATAGCTTCGAATCGAACCATATTTGCAAAATAATTGTGGCTGCAAAAATTATTTTGGTCTTTCTTTTTACAATGATAAATATCCTTTTTTGACATAATTAAACTTGTGCGTGATAATTTAACCGAGTTCTTTTCTTATATATACCAACATTTTTTTTTCATATTGGAAACAATAAATTTTTCAAAATGCTTTTTGCAACCATTTTGGTTTTTATATCTTTTATCGCTTACAAAATTTATCAAAAAACTAAAGTACCCGAAGGACTTGAAGATGTACCAACTATAAGTTATTTTGGAATTTTTAAATCTATGTTCTATAATGAAGGCCCTGACAAACGTTGGGAAGATTCACGACAAGTTCTTGAGAAATATGGAATTGGAAAAGTAACCAGTCATATCATTATCATTCTCATACGATTTATTAATTTTAAAAGTAAATTTACTAAAACCGAAGTAAATATATAAATTATAGTTTTGGTTCCATGGAGAATGGTATGTCGTTACTACTGATTTGGAACTTATAAAAGATGTATTTGCGAAAACAGGTTAGTTGTTTTTTTTTTTTTTTTTTTTTTTTTTTGTTGATTCCTTATTTTGTTTTAACATTATAATTTGAATTAGATTTATATCCTAAATTATCGCTCGAAGAAGCGTTTCCCGGATCTTTAATGACTAGTTACTTCGGCACAAACGTAGTATTTTCCAACGGAGATGTAAGTACATTTAAAATATCTCTAAATAAAACATGTTCTTTGACTGACATTCGAATGTCTTATTGATTATGTAGGTTTGGAAACGTCATCGGTGTGTATCGTCAATTTAATTTATCATAAATAGATTATTGAATTAATTTTTCCTTTATATTCTAGTTTTATTACAAATCCTGCGTTTAAAAGTATACCCATGCAATTATTTGATGACATTACTGTGAAATTGCTGAAGGTCATCGAAAAGGTTGATAATGAACCCATAGAGGTAAAAGATCTTATGGATAGGTAAATAATCTCGATTTTTTTTTTTCAGTAATTAGGACGAAAGTTTTAATTTATGAATTATTATTTATAGGCTGATTTTAGACGTACTTGGAAGAATTGCTTTCAAATTTGATTTTAATGTAAGATAATTTTTTTGTAAAAGAAAAAAAAAGAAAAAAATAACGATTAATAATTTATAATTTATATTAATTAGTATCTTGAAGATCCAACAAATGTTCTTGTTACTACATATAAAGAAGCGATAGCGGAAGTTAATAACCCATTATATTTTCTTTTCCCATTCATTGAAAATATCCCTTATTTTTATCGTACTGAAGCACGAAAAAAAGTTGCAAAGATTCATGATTTATTTAGTGGACTTATTGAAGAGAGACGTAAATCTATGGAAACGGACGAATTGAGTAAAAAAATAGACAATAATTCCGCTGATTTATTAGAATGTATGATAAACGCTTCTAAGAATCCAAAATATCACATGTCAGACGAAGAAATGCGAGTAAGTATCATAATTGGTTATGAACCTAAGTTTATTTTTTAATTATAATCTTCTTAAATTTATAGTATAATCTTTCAACATTTATGATAGCTGGTCATGAGACTAGTAAGAAGAACCATTAATAATTTTTTATTTATTAATTTATCTTATTCATAAGATTAAGCTTTATTTTTGAAATAATTAAATTAGCTGCAACTGCTTTGACAACCGTATTATATGTCTTAGCAACCCACAAGGTATTTAAAATTTTGTCTTTAAAAATATCTTTTTTATTTATTATTAATTTGAATTTACCTTTATTGAATAAGGATGTGCAAAGCAAAGTTCGTGAGGAATTATTACGCGTTCTTGGCGATAATTTAATCCCGACCATCGAACAACAAAAAGAATTAAAATATATGAACATGGTTTTACATGAAAATTTAAGATTATATCCTCCGGTATATATTTTTTAAACTTTCAAATTTCGTAACTTGTCTTGTCCAAATTTATTTATATTAAATAATATATATGTATATTATATATATTTTTTTTTTAATTAAAGATTCATCAACTACCACGAAGAGAAAATGCAGAGATAATCAAGTTTCGAAATCATACATTTTTGCTAAATACACCTATATTAGTAAATATTTATGGAGTTCATCATTCACCAAAATATTGGAAGGATCCTGAAGAATTTATTCCTGAAAGATTTGAGAATGAAAATGATGAAAAACGCGATCAAAATACTTGGTTACCTTTTGGTGGTGGTTCAAGAATGTAAGTCGAAGACTTTTATTTTGATTTTGACTGACTTTATGACTTTATAACTAATTCATTGTTATTATTATCATTAAATAGATGTTTAGGTAACACAGTTACACTTATTGAAGAAAGAGTGATGTTGTGTACTATATGTAAGTTGTTTATAAAATCTTTTTTTTTATTTTTTTTATTAAATATGTATTATTAATTTTTTGTGGAATTGATTATTTTCTCTATTTAGTGAGAAAATATGAGGTGTCTTTACCAGCAGATAGTATTCATAAAGATAAACTACAACTTGATAAATTTAATGATTCATTTACGGGACTGAAAGCATTACACTTGATATTTAAAAGAACAACAAATTAAACAAGTTCATTATTAGGGCGCTTAGCGAGAAAGGTCAAAAAACGTTGCTGCACATAAATTAAACTATTGTTTTTCCAGAATATTTCCGCCCTTTTTTACTGCAAAGATTTCATTTTAATATCAAATGTATTTATTACATGCTTATTTTGTTGTAATATTAGTTCATATGGTTTTGTATTTTAAATTGCTTTGTCAATGTCTTTTTTGGCTTTCAAGATAAAAGATCCTTCTATTATTAATAAATTACAAAACACAAATTGTTAATATATCTTATAAAATTATTTAAAAACTTTTTTTTTAAATAAAAAAAAAAAAAATAAAATAAAAAAATTGGAAGTCGAATCATAGTCTCGTATTTACTTAAGAAATATAAATTCAGCAATTAATCAAATATGAAATTAGCGTTTTTATCATATCGGTAAAGTTTGATTATAATAATTAGTGCACTCGGGTCGGGATTGAAGCATATCGAACTCGAACCCTTAACCCGACTCGACCCTTCCCGATTATTGTTTAACTCGACTCGGATTCGACTCGAATTTTTAAGGTAATATCGATATTAATACCGAAATCAAATAAAAAAATTATTTATACAGATAATGAAAAAAGTGTAAAAGTTCATTATTTTTAAAGTTCATTGGTGCCACCAGGAATTTAAACACATATGGTCGCGAATTGTATCGGTTTTAAACGTTCTACTCGTCGCTTATTTAAAATAATTTCATTTTTATTTGGACGATAACGTTCTTAATGACACCAATTATTTGTTGTGTTTGAATCATAAATCTTGCGGCGTTATGTTTTGTCCTCCAAAATTTTTCAAAAAAAGTAAAATAAGACATCTATCTTCTCGATGCTTTTGTTCAGTTGGAAGAATGTTCTCTTCAAATCAAAGTTCTTTGGCAAAAAGTTTACTTCTCATGAGTGATATGTGAGATAATAAAAATAGATTGCCTTAATTGAATAACATAATATTATTTAAAATATAAATTTAAAAATCAGGAAATAATTGTTGTAATATTAAATATTATAAAATGTAAATATTTTTTGAATCAGAAGCTCTTTCGAGTGAACTATATAATTATTATGCTTTGCAGTACAATACGTGAAATGATACCAAAACATTTTGAAGTAGATTAATTCAAAAGTAATAAGCAAATTATAAGGAAATGAAATTTAATGAATACGTTGTTCCAAAATAATATGAAAACATCAAATGATAAAAAATTTTAATTTAATTTAAGGTGTTAATAAACGATATGAACTAAATTTACCATACCTAAACCAACTGCGAATATCCAACGACATTATGTAAAGAGTTTAAGGATGATATATGTCTATGATTAGAAAAATCCGTACATTAAATCTTTTTCATATTGTTGCTTTAAGTTTATATTTATAAACGAATGGAGAAGGTAGCATAAGGTTTTTTACTTAAGAAAAAATGATACAAGAATTATTTAATAAAAATCAAGTACTGACTCAAAGTCGGCGCTATGTACTTCCAGAGTCAATTTTATTGGATGCGAAACCACTGCGGTTAAATAAAAAACTAAGGGAATTTCAGGGAATTTCTAAACTAAAGAATTAATGCCATCTATGCTTAACTCGATCAAAAATCCACCATTTTTATACTAAATTTCAAAAGGACAACTTTCCCAGAGTACATTTTGACCAGATGCCGGAGGACAATTCGTCCCGTAGTCAACTTGTTCAGTGGTAGATTTAAGAAACAATACATTCGTAAAATATTAATATAAAAAAATACGTGTTCCTTTATTAAATTAATATTGTAAACAATATTTATAAGGAACATTATTCTCAATTCAAAAGATTGTGGTAGCAACGAATTATGTACTTTATATTACAATATTATTTTTTTTATGTACTCATTAAGATTACCATTTTATAATAAAGTTTAAGACTTTTTTTTTCAATGCCTCATATGCCTTTAAATGTTGTTAATGTGCATATAATGACGTGAAAATTGACATACAATATATATGCAGTTGATTGATTTCATTTGGATTTCCTTTTCATTAAATGTCACATGACTTATTTTCAAACGATCTTTAAAAAAAGATGAGAAATTTTTTTATTTTAACGAATTCAAATTTTGGAACTACCTATTCCGTAAGAATGTTTTTATCTTTAATAATCATTACTAAAAAACTCAATAAAATTTTTTTAAAAAAAAAAATATGTGAATGTTTCCAGTAAAATCAAGTCATGGGATGGGGCATAGTAAATCATATGATCTGTAATGTGATTTATTGCCATATATACTGTATAAAGGGATTTACATTTGCTATCCTAGTAATAAATATTGAAGGATCGTATAAAACGCCAACGGTCATAAAATATGATGATTTCTACGGGAAAATAGAATCGTGGAATTTACTCGCATTGGACCTCAATCTCATCAAAACCACTCAAATGCGAATTATATTTTGCAACTCCCATCATAAATTACATTCAAGTTCAAATTGTAAATTCCAAGCTTTTACTATTTTCCGTTGGAATAAATGTCGCTTTAAAAGCACACATTTACGAATAATTGCAATCACATTATGATCTAATTCTGCAGGAACCTTTAATAAGAGAAAATGTAATATACTATTTGAAAACAATTTCAATCATTTACATAAAATTCAAAAAGTTTAATTTATTACTCCGTAAGTAAAAACTACAACTTGCTTATCAAAATCAAATTGGTCCAATCGAACTAGTAAGAATGGTTTTTCACAAGATAACACACTTCCTTATAATGTAATTTGAACCATTTCTTGCTTATGAGCAAAGTATTGGTTAATATCACGTGAACGCAAATTTTATAAGAGCGAGTAGACTGCATATACAGTATTTGTTCGATCAAATTGATGTTTCAATGTTCTCGCAAATTTTTATTTTATTTAAATCTGAAGCTGCAGCGATTCATTCCATGTACTGTAAACCTTATAATGAATATAATTTGGGTCCAGAAGGTTGTCATGCATGTCTTTTACTTTATTTTTAAGCAAAAACAAAAATTCAATGAATTTCTTTATTGATTGTATTAGTCTGGAGCGTAGCGAAGGACTATATAATTCTATGTATATTGACCCCCCTTCCCTTGTACACTAATCAAAAAAAATATAACACTCGTTGTCACGGGGATTGGGTATGAACTTATTCATCATATGAATTAGCTCCGGACTAAACAACGGCTCACCGTTCCCTAGTAATTAGATATTACTTTTAACTTCATTCGTTTCATTATGAATTAGACTTGTTGATTGTGACGGTGACACAGTAGATTTAACGACGCAAATGACGATAAATTAAATGACATAACAGTATGTACTGGCGATGATGTAGACCGAGCATTCATTGAATTTCACAGTGATAAAGTTGGAAATGTTGTCATGGATCTCTTTGAGGAAAATCATAACCCTTATCTACAATAGCTCGTACAAGAGTTTTTTTGTAGGTTTGTTAAATTTTCATTTACGGAAAAACTAGAAGATTTTAAAATTTTTGAATGAGATATAGAGGAATATGAACCACTAAAAAATATATTAAGGGTAAATTACAAAAGAAAGATTGGAAGTTGAACATGATGATGTCAAAAAAAAAGTCTGATACTGTATTTTGAAATGTCAACTGGAACAATCGAAAAGATTGGAAAAAAATTTCTGTATTGTTACTAGTCGGTGGATTCGGTGAAATACAAATACTTACAAACTAGAATTAGACAAAAAATTTCGGAAGAAATGCCAAAGATTTTTGTGCCTAAGCAACCTACTATATATATTATGAAAGGAGGTAAACAATAATGTATTAACTTTATTTAATTTTCGCAAAACAATATTCGATGTCGGACCATTTCCCGAATTTCATTTTCCCCTTTTCCCGAAGCAATTTTCCTGAATACCAATATCCTGCATCAGTTACAACTGATACATCGTATGTAATATCATTTAGTGACCACCATCGATTTTTTTTTTCGAGTCTTTGTGCTTTGTCCGTGTCCTCGTAAAAGATCATTTTTAATGATTTTAAGATTCTAAACAAGCCTTTGTTTCGTGGCAATTTATTTACCACATAGCGTAACAATTATGTCTTTTATTCGGTGCATTCTATTATTGTACCGTACCGGTTTTCTATATATAACGATATTAATTGTGATTTTGTATTCTATACTAGGGTCATCAAAGCGTTGTTCTTAATAAAAAAAAAAAAATTTTCAAAAAAAAAAATAACTTGATAAAAATTAAATAAATTGTGGGAGGAAAGCCACGAATCAGGGAGGAGGAAAAACGGTACGGTATACAAAATATATGATCGTACCGTATTGGTCTCAATGATATTATCAGCTGAACCGGGTTTTCCTCCTCCCTAAAAATATCCAAGCCCAAGCCGCAGTACTTAAATGAATAAAATTGGTGGATAATTCTTACAATTAATAATAATAACATTAATAATTAAAACCAATTATATAAAATAAATAAAGTTTAAAATTTATTAGTGGGTGCATAATGTAAGATTTCAATTTTTATACTCTCACTAGAATCAACGAAAAAAGCATCCTTCTCTGCATAATATTGTTCTGAAGACATTTTAAAAAAACGAATGAATGTATTTATTGATGAAGACATTCATGATGTGATGATTCTCAATAGATCGACAACATATTTGGATGATTTACATTACTAAAAACTACAAGTTTCCCGCCTTTTTTTCAATAGAAGTTTATACTAGATTCCTCTCCGAGCCATTCGAGCAAACATTCTGAATAATCAGCAAGTTTCGTAAAGATTTTGTTACAATTTTGCATAAGTGATTTCTACAGACCATACGGAAATCTACTAAAGATCCAAACATGCATTATTACTACTATATATGATTTAAACCGAATCCATAAATTCTTATTTATTATGAATTGCTTACGTGAAATGATTCACATTATTTAAGATGTTGGCAATTTCATATCATTAATTTTGAAAATATAAATCACGCAT